TTCCGTGTTACTGAAAATCGTGTTATCCGACAACGCGGATCCATCCGTAAACGTACACCGTGTGTTGCGAAAGGAAAGAAAAAGAAAAAAAAAAAAAAAAAAAAAAAAAAAAAAAAAAAAAAAAAAAAAAAAAAAAAAAAAAAAAAAAAAAAAAAAAAANAAGAAAAAGAAAAAAAAAAAAAAAAAAGAAAAGAAAAATAGCGAAAAATGACCAACCTCGCGCGACGTATTATTTAAAAGTTAGATTTTAAAGGGTACGATACACGCGTCCGTAATATCGCGGCGGCTTTGTCGTATTTGAGGAAAGTAAGGGCAAAGTTTGCCGAAGATCTTTGGCTGTTGGAACTGTCTGGTTTCCAAGACAGTGTGTCTACTCGTCCGATTCTCTTTCCGCGGCGCGTGACTTTCCTGCATCTTGCTTAATCGATAAGTAAACTCGCTCTCCCCTCGCTTGAAAACTTCTTCAATTTCTTAGATTCTATTTCGTATCCGTTTATACCTCCAATTTCCATCCCCGTACATTTAAATGCGCGGAACGACGCTCGCGGATTTACGGCACAGGGTATAGACTATAAAACCGAAGAGATTCATCGCCCGCCGGTGAAATCTTTGCAACTTTGTCCTCCATCTTCAGCGTTTTGTTATCAGCGAAATTTCGCGAAGCGTTTCACGACCGTTTAATGATATTCATAGCAAACTTGCGACACACAAATTATCGTTATCATTGTCACGACTGCATCTCTGAGAACCATTAATACAGGACAAGTAGTGCAAGCGAGTGGAAGATGAAAGAGCGAAAGAAAAATGAGTCGAAAGGAAAGGGTAAAATTTTTTATTAAAGTCTCTAAAGTTTCAAAAATTTATCAAATGTACTTGAGAAAAAGAAAAGAGTGAAAAATTAGTATTTTTTGCAAGACGCTTTTCGAGAGAGTCGAGTTTGAAAATTTATCGTACAGAAACGAGTCGCTGTTTCCCTTCTTTTTGAGAACGATGCCTTTATTCTATACTTTTCACTTATTTTCGCAGCCGAATTCGAAATTTCCAAACTCGATTTTTCTCGAGAACCGGAGGCTTCAACGCAGAATCACTTCCCACCTTGTACGCGTCGACGAATTAACAAAAGAAAAAAAAAAAGAAGTTTCGCAAAGACACGTTCGACTTTTCAATTCGCAGAATGTACAGAGAGTTGCTGCTTGCCCGTTTCAGAATCGGCGGAGAAACACGCGGCCGTGCGTGAAATGAAATATTTCAAGTTTACCGGGGAGTTGGCCGGCCTGCGCTCACAGAGAAAAACATCAAGGAGGGGGGGGGGGGGGGGCAACATCGGGCGTATCGGAACGAAATTCCCAAAGTTTCGCAAGCATGCGCGAAACAAGCCTAGCACATGTGATTAGAGAGATTAAAGGGAAACATTTTATCGTAAACGTTTCGAGAGAATTTAATTCACGTGAAAGCTTTTAGAGGGGTATCGCCAACCCGTTTGGAAAGTTACTGCAAAATTCACTTTGCGACTATGCGAGTCGTGCAATTGCGCGATATATTTTCAAACCAGTCGGCTGATCGAGTTTGCCAGTCTTCCGCGTGCCGTGACCAAGCTGTGGCTAACAAAATCTTTCGTTTCTCTCGTTTCCTCCTTTTTTTTTTCATTCAAAGGACGATTAAAATTCACGCGAATCCCTCATGTTGTTTCGAGGAATCGGGTTCCAACGCAGCCCCGACGCAATTTTTACACCTCAGTCTCTCGTGGCTTTTCGCCTAATTACATTAGGCTGGATTATACTCCGCGATAGGGGGAATTAAAGCGAGAGGGAGAGGGGGAAAAAAGCACGAAGAGGGATTGGCTCTTAATATCATAATCCCATGAGAGATTAATCCAACAAACTCGTGCTTACGAAGCCTGAAAGGCTGGAACAGCTGAGTGTAACATGCCCGTTTCGTGCCTTTCCTGCCCCAGTGAGCCAAGATTTTTAACCAATCGACTGGTTCGGTGGTCTACGTCTCCGACAGACTGGCGACAATAGCATCAAAGTGACAGAAATTTCTAATTTGTCCTTTGCTCAGCTTGGCGAAGAGAAAACGAAGAGACGCGTCGGATCTCCTTCGTCACCGGACTCTACGCGTACGGTGTCTCGTGCTTTCACGATTTCTCGGTGTTGGAACTGCTCTCGAATCAGGTTCGAAAATCAAGCGAGAAAACTCTCGATCGTCGATCCGTGACAAACATACACACACACACACACACAAACACAAATCGAGCTACGTGGTCTAACACGGGCTCCGTGCGTCGAGAGATAATACAGCCAAGTTATGCCGCTTTTTCCGGTCTGCTCTCCCTCCTCTCTGTCTCTATCGCGAGCACACACACATACACACACACACACACACACACACACACACGTACACACACGGATGTATGCACCGGGTGTCCTTGCGGAATGAAAGTAGCCTGGAAAACGTGACCTCTCGTTCCACGTATGAGTAACGCTAAAACCGCACCGGCCTAGGCATGCTCAAAGAGAGAGAGAAAGAGAGAGAGAGAGAGAGAGAGAACTATTGTAGAACCGCGTCGATAGATCTCTGGAGGCTGCGTGCATGTGCGGTGGTAACGTCGGCATTCACTCGGCTGCTTTCTCGGGAATGGAAAAGTTTTCAGATCTCTGTGGCAGCGAGATCGCGATTCAAGTGCAAGTGTCGGGACGCGCAAGTTCTTAGTTGCGCGGAACGGAACGGTTATTGGGCTCGCGTGGTTTTTCCATTGAGGATCTCTCGCGCTAATACGCACGCAGAAGTTTGCTCGACGGAGAAATTTGTCAGCGACGCCTCTCGCCGGATAATTGCTCCGTCGGGGGCAACGTTATTATTTCTAGTCTGCAGCGTCCCGTACGATTGAATTAATGCCATTTACAATTTCCGTCGTTTCACTTTCGAGTCACGGCAAGACGCTTTCTCACAAACTGACAACGAATCGAACAAGTGTTCGAAATTGGATCTCGAGATTTTGTTAAATCTCATTGGAGAAACGTAACCAATGACGCAGTGAAAAATTGTCAATTATCGGAGCTGATTCGCAAAAATCAACTATTAAAATTAATTCGTAATTTCCTTCTCGCATATCGTTGAAAAAATTCTTCTGAAAATCATGTTTGAACTTGAGTTTGACTAAAAGTTGATGAAATTAGTTGTTTCTTGTATTTCGATGTTTTGTTAGAAAAAGTAATCGGGACTTTTGGCCCATCCTGTATATAACGATTTCGTTTGGCCTCGCTTTAAAACGTGGAACCTTTGCTTCGACAGTCGCGAATTCGTTTCTTTTGAGGATAATTTTACTTCGCATAACGAGTAGGCAAGTGAGAATATTTTGTTTCATTGAAAATTGAAAAAATTCAAATGCACGTAAGATTAAATTAAATTGAATTAAATGTTTCTTCGCGACGAAATCCGTCATAGTCTTGAAGACTGACATTTTCTCAAATTCTCTGTACGATTACTATTTTCTTTTATCATTCAAAACTTGAAACACTAGGTGTAGACGATGAAATAGGATTTCTTAAATTTATGTCATTTAACCCTAACGAAAAAAAAAAAGAAAGAAAGAAAAAATCGTACAAAAAGCAAAGAGGAGATTTTAATTCTCGAAACGATAGATCCAGTTGCGAGAAACATTTTTGAAACTTTCGAGGAAGAAGTTCACCAGAAGTGGATCTGTTTAAAACGACTGTTATCAATTTTCAATTATCGACAATGTTTTCACTGCCATTGGTACGATTACGCTGTGCACTGTAAGAAAACTTTTCTTACCACGGTATGTAAAAACCCACGGATCACTGGCGAACGAGGTTAATTACCTTTCTCTTTAAAGAGATGCTTGCACACGTTGATCGCGTCCGAAGGGGGAAGAGTAGAGAAGTTTCCTGTTAAGAAGGAAGCAAAGTTAAGCGCCAGCAAGCAGTTTGTTTCGGGGGAAGAGAAAAAGGGAACGTGGCACATTCCTCGGCCACTGTGTTTCATTAAGCACGCAGGGCGAGATGCTGCGAGTCCTTGGCGTCGCGCGGCGAGAATTTTAATGCGCGCGACATTAACATAAAAGCGTCGTTGGATTGCCGCTCAAGATTTTGTAAATTGTTATTCCAAATGCGCCGGTTACCCGTGAATTATTGCACCTGGGTGTGTATACGCGCGCGGCCGCCGGTTTCAAAGATAATTCGTGCAATTTCGTTGCCCGTACGAACTTCACCACCCGACGAATAGCAGTTAAATTCACTTAGCGCTGTATCAGCGTGATACATTAGCATGCTTGGCAACTGTTTCTACTTTGTTAAGCCTCTTTATATTAATTTGAATACAGGAGAGGATCTCCTTGAATCGTCCGTCTCTCTTTCTCTCTCTTTGTCTCTACGTTATAATTTACAGATTTCACGAATCTGCATAACGGCCAGAACCTCTCATCCAAACTTTATTACAACGCCCCGGCGCATCGTTTCGGCTTTGTCTCGCGATCGCCGTGACAATTGCTCGTCACATTCTCCCCCGGCGAAATTCGAGAATAATTGATCGAAAACTTGACGAAACAAACGATTTCTTCGACTTTGTTACCACGAATGTACCACCAATCGTTTGATTTTCATAGGACAAACGACGGCTACGATTTTCTAGCTCGCCCCATTCCGAAAATTCTTACCCCTTTTTCTTTACAAACCACGCGCGCGATTTTAATTTTATTCCAACCCAAGGACGCGATTATGACTGTTCCGGTAATAGAACGTTTAGATAGCGGGACATTCTACGAATACTGAAACGTTCTGGCTGTGCGCTGGAGACTACTGCGGCTGTTATCGTCGATTTCGAGAGTGCAGCTCGTTTGAGAACGAATTAAAAGCCGTTGTCGTTATCGTGCAAAGTACATCGAGTTGTCGGACTTCGGACTAGCCAGATAAACGTTCCGAGATACTCGTTCCAATTTTCTTTCATTTATTTTCTTCTTCTTCTTCTTCTGTTTGCAGGTCCCGGCCGCCGAACGGAGGCCGAATTAGGAGATCGACTCGACTCGACTCGACTCGACTCGACTCGACTCGACTCGAAAGTGGAACAGCCACCGTGAGATCCGGTTTCGGGAAGACGGGGAAAAATATGAGCATCTCGTGAAGTCGGCTTTAAAGTGCAGCTTTCAGACACCGAAGGGGTAGAAAACACCATGGAAACCGAGGAACTCACCAGACTCGTAGATGAGATCTACAAGGTAAGCCCCGTTTCTCGATCTCGCCGATCGAGGTTCAGTCTCACGACCGTCGGCCGTTGGTTTCTCTTCGTAGGGAAACGGGAAAGTTCTGTCACACTCACGATGAAACTGGCCAAGTGGAATCTCGCGTTCGATTAATTACGTAATTTGGCGATTAACGCTTTCCACTCGTTAGAAACGCTTGACAAGAAAGTCTGAAAGAACGATAACACTGTCACTCGAACTCGCTGTGTGTTGACGGATTGATCGCGGAGCTCGACGCTTGTTTACGATTGTCAAAATGGTTTGAAGAATACAGATACGATCAATTCTTTATCGGCAGGTGAACGAACGTCTCCAATCTGAGCGAGTACATTTTCCCTCGCGAAAGAATAAACCTGGGCCAAAATTGGCCGGCGATGTTAATACGTGACTTGGAAGAAACATTTCAAGAGAACGGACAATTGCGAGGAGAATTTTAAAATACTTTCTTCATTTTATCACACACACACACACACACACACAGTGGCCAAAAAGTAATTGCGGTTTTTTTTTCTAACAGATGGACATGTATGTAAAAAATGTAACAAACTTCACTTTTCAATCGTAAATTCATTGCGCGAAGGAATATACTGATGGCTCGTCGTTCGAACTTGCTTCAAAAAGAAGAAAATGCGCGATCTCATTGACAATTACTCGTTTGTCATTTCAACGTAAAAAATCAAAGAGAATCATTTACGTAATTGTCGGCGAACATTTTTGCTGTACTACATTCCGAGAAAGGAAAGAAAGACTGCAGGCTCGTGAAAGTTATCTAATGTATACGGTGAAGAGGCCTTCGAACCAAGGCAATGTCAGAATCGATTTATTAAATTTCATCTACTGGAATCGTGAAGTTGCCAAAAAGAAGATAATGGAACAAAACGTAAATATAAAAAGAATGGCAAAATATATTAATAAAATTCGCCTTTCATTTGCAAGCATACAAAAAGAAGAAGAAGAAAAAAAAAAAAAAGAAAATGCAGTTACTTTTTGGCGAATATACGAATTGTTTTCACACACGCAACTCGACGATAATAATTTCCAGCCAGCCTCGCTATTTGACGCGCGCGAAAAGCATCAAGACACCTCGAACACGTGTCACGCGATACAGCTGCAATAACGAGAAATGGATTTCCGCGCGCGAGCGAACACTCTCTCTCTCTCTCTCTCTCTCCTTCGAGTAGACACGAGTACGCTCTCTCTCTCGAGAGAGAGAGTCTGTGCCCGAATATGAAATTTGCTCCAGGATCATCCTCTTCTTAACGGTTTAGCAAGTTTTCACCCTCCTCGGTTTATACATCATGCAGCGTGATAAGCTAGCATCTCCCGTTGTCCAGCGGAACAACAGTTTGATAAAATTCGCGCGTTCGATAAAGTCACTGTAAAATGAAACGTGAAAATTTCCCGGGTGGTCACACACCGAGCTCGGAAATTTTAGCGGAATATTATCTTTCTATCCTCCCTTCTCCTGTCTTTTTTTTTTTTTTTTCAAGGGAGTATCGCTTATCGTTACTCTGACGATCTGCCATTTCTCTGCTTCTTCTGTGTCGCGTCTCCACTTCCTTTCCCCAGGATACTGGTTTTTCGTGTCTCTGTACTTTATCTCTCCCCCCCGCTCCCATTTCGCCGTCAAAGGAGGAAATGGATATCGACCTGTACTCCTTGGAAATCACTTTCATCAATTTCTTCAGGTCTTCCGCCCGGGGTTCTCGATTTTGAAAACCGACGTCGAGTGTGTTTTCTGAATAATTCGATCAGACCTGAAATTTCTATCGCGCGAACGAGCGCGCGAAAGTTTTGTCTCTCGACGCAGAATTTCACTGTTATGTGAAAAATTGCGGAGTAGATTTTTTTTTTTTTGCCCTCCACTACGCTTCGAACAGAACTGGCGCGAAGTTTCGTAATACAGAGCGCGCAGAGTTTTAAAATTCCGCGAGCGCGGCTTGCAACAAGGAACTTGCGCGTAATCGCGTTGTAAATTCTGTTTTGCACGAGACAGATCGAATTAGTTTCACTCGAGCTCGATGAAGATTCCGCTGGGGAAATTTGGAAATTACGGCGATCTAATTAGAAAAATCAGTAGTCTGACGGCCGCTTCTTCGAGTAGGTGAAACGTTCTTCGTTTGAGTTTTGTTTTGTTATTTTAAAATTACTAAATTTTTAAATTTTGTTTTGTTATTTTCCTAAATTTAAAAATTCCTAAATTTATTTATTTTAAAATTCCTAAATTTTAAAATTTTGTTTTGTTACTTTCTTAGATTTGTTATTTCCTAAATTCCTAAATTTTAAAATTTTGTTTTATTATTTTAAAATTCCTAAATTTTAAAATTTTTTGTTATTTTATCCAAAATTTTAGAATTTTGTTTTGTTATTTTAAAATTCCGAAATTTTAAAATTTTTGTTTTGCTATTTTAAAATTTCTAAATTTTTTTTTGTTTCGTATATGCAAGTGTCACGAACGGTAAGGTAGCATAAATGTGAGGACAGTTCCAATTCCAAGTATTGGTGGGGACAGCAACGAACGATTAGTGAAGAAAAGTGCATTTAGACATTTAACTTGGGACTGCTATATTATCTATTTCGATCCCTGCGAGGTACTTTGAGGAAAACATTCTCCAACGACAACCAAGTTCGAGAGCTTGTCAAAAACTTGTTTCCATCAAAACCAGGTGAATTCCATACCAAAGAGCAACAAGCAATAGCAATTAACGTCGACTATACCAGAGATTAGGATACAATTGTTTATTTCATTGATAAATAAACTTGTAATTAACTGTAACTCGGTAGAATGTCTGTTGCAAATGGCGGAAATTTTCCATCTTCCGAAACCTTCGACGCTGACGAGCAGAATTATTTGTCGCGCCATCAACAGGTACGGGAAATTGTCACGTGTTGATAAGAGAATCTATACCTCGTCTCAATGTCGGGTCGTTAAAGATACTTATGTAGTTATACCTAACTAGCGAATGTCTGTGGGATTCAACGCGTGCAACGATGGATGAATAGCCAGCCTCCTCAATAGTAAAACCTTTGGCCACTAACGGGACATTTGCGCGTGTCCCCATACGGCTTTGAAAAACCTCCAACAAATTACACATCCTCGACACCGGCTGCTAATGAGACGTGCGTGAATGCACGCGCGTTGCGAGTGGAATTTGAAATCCGAAAGTAGGAAAATCTCGTTTCCTAATTGCGAGTTACGGATCATTCGAGTGGCCGTGCGTTTAACAGCTTGGAACAGAAAGTTAAAAATTGGAAGAGTTTAACGACGTGGTGAAATAACAAAGGCCGAATTATCAGTGACAACGAAGGACTGTCGATTATTCAAGCTAATCGTAAAAGAAACATTGAAGCCTCTATTTTAAAAATCGCGAGGACTGAGACAATTTCTCAAAAATTGTAAGGATTCAAACGTGTGTGGTAATAAAAAAATTTTCTGTCAGTTTGAAGACTGAGGCCTCCCCTTTGTAACAACTTTTTAAAACTCACTGTTCGACTTCTTTTGTTCGATATTTTATTAAACGTCGAGCATCGAGGTAAGATACAATACAAATTCAAGAAATCTTCACTTCAATTCCAAGTTTAGTAAAATCGTACAGCGAGTTTTAAGGGCTCGTTGTAAGAAGAAAATTTTAATTTTCCAAGACCACGCGGCCTTGCTTTTCCTTTGTTCGGAGAAAAATTATTCAACAAGTCTGATTTTTCACAATTTCCGAGAAAAAAAGATATCCTCGCCGCACATCAATAGAAGCTTCACGCTTCAAAATGACTTTGCGAAGTTGTCTCAACATAAATTTTCATTGTCACTGGTGCTAGCTCCTCGTTACAGAAACGATAACGGAAGGTTCTCCTTCTTGACTGACTTTTATTAAAAAAAAAAATTTACCAACGATACCATAATTTCTAAACAAACATGCGTAGAGAGAGAGAGAGAGAGAGAGAGAGAGAACGACGATACGTTTCGAAACCGAAGTTTCTCGGTCCATTTCCAAAGAGAAGGAATTTCACGGGAAATTGAGCATCGACACCGAAACACCGTCGACTTTCTCTACGCGTGAACCACAACACCATCGTTCTCTCATATCCCGCGGAACGAAAGCTCGGTCTACTTAGCTGACTGTACAAAAGTTTCCATCCAGTGACGCGAGCTTGCAGTTAATCCATCCGTTTATCCCTCCACTTATCCGTCTGTCTGTCTCGAAAACGTGCGTTTACGCGGAAGCCGGTAGACACGGTTGCCGCAGAATTTTTCCGATAATTAGGTGTCGCCTCGGAAAATTATCCGTCGCGGAATACAAGCATGGCGGCGAGACTGTATATGGGTAGAGAGCGGCAGAGACAGAGAGAGGGAGAGAGCCGTGAGAGTTCACAGGAGCGAGAATGATTAGGCGGAAGGTAATCTTATTAGTCGTTCGGCAGTCAAGCTTTCCTTTAAACCGTAATACCCTTCTACTCATCTTTGTCGCGATCCTTCGAGTCGTACACTTCCGCTTTCCCCCATTATCCCACCCCCCTCCTCGTAGACCAACCATCGTTATACCTGCTAACGACGGATGTTTCGTGGAAAATAGCAAAATCGCGACAGCAAGCACGAGGTTTACCGTGGCTTAAGTTTCTCTTGTCATTCGCTTCGAGTCATATCGATCTCTTCCCTCTTTCTCTCTCTCTCTCTCTCTCTCTCTCTCTGTCCTTGTCGTAAATTTCGTCACATCACGGGCGGAAGATTCTCGCCAGTTTTCGGATAGAATGGTGTTGGCATTTTCCAATCAGGGAAAAATTCCACTTTTCCGAAAAAAAATCGGCAGAAATTCCGCGCGTCATTTCGCTCGCGTTTTCCACATTTTTTTCTTTTTCTTTTTTTTTTTTTTTTTGTCGAGCGGAGCGCATTCGCGACGATGATACGCGGGAGATTCCCCGACGACTAATTACAGCCGTTGATTGGAACGAGATGCAGAGCCGCGAGATGGACACGCAACCGC